GCCCGCCCCCCGCCTGCCCCCGGCGCGCCCCCCCCCCCGCCGCTGTGTTGCGCTCCCCCAGATATCTACGTCTGCATGATCTCCTCCGCTCACAACGTGGCGGCGCAGGGGAAGTACATCGCCATTGCCAGCACTCCCGTGGAAACCGCCGACCCGGAGAAGGAAATCAAGCCGGCCTTGGACCTCTTGGAGCCCATTGAGCAGAAGTAAGGCCTCAACGCGCCCCCTCTCCCGTTTCTCGCCTCGCCGCTCTCCGCTGCGAGCGCTCGGGCCTGCAGCGTGAAGGCAGAGGGGACCCACAGATTCACCGAATCGTAAGGGTTGGAAGGGACCTCGGGAGATCATCCAGTCCAACCCCCCTGCTAAAGCAGGCTCACCTAGAGCATGCTACACAGGACTTCATCCAGGCGGGCCTTGAATATCTCCAGAGAAGGAGACTTCACAGCCCCCCTGGGCAGCCTGGGCCAGGGCTCTGTCACCCTCAAAGTAAAGAAGTTCTTCCTTGTGTTCAACTGGAACCTCTTCTGCTTCAGTTTGTGCCCATTTCCCCTTGTCCTGTCACTGGACACCACTGAGAAGTGTCTGGCTCTATCCTCATGGCATCCACCCTTAAGATGTTTGTAAGTGTTGATGAGATCCCCTCTCAGCCTTCTCTTCTCCAGGCTAAACAAGCCCAGCTCCCTCAGCCTTTCCTCATAGGGGAGATGCTCCAGTCCCCTCATCATCTTTGTAGCCCTCTGGACTCTGGACCCAGTGCTCCAGATGGGGTCTCCCCAGGGCAGAGTAGAGGGGGAGGAGAACCTCCCTCGACCTGCTGGCCACGCTCCTCTTGATGCACCCCAGGATGCCACTGGCCTTCTTGGCCACCAGGGCACCCTGCTGGCTCATGGTCAGCTTGTTGTCCACCAAGACTCCCAGGTCCCTCTGGGGCGAAGGCCGTTTGGCTGCGAGGAGGTGTCAAAATGCTGAATTCCCTCTGCGCTTCGGCGGCTGACGCGCTGGGCAGAGCGATGCCCCTTGGTCCGGCCCTTCTTGCGCCCGTAGCGATGCTCAGCGATGCGTTAAAAAAAAAATCATTCTGAAGCTTTTTTTTTTTTTCCTTCTTTTTCTTCCCTCTCCCCCCCGCCCCTTCCTTCCAGGTTCGTTAGCATCAGTGACCTGTTCGCACCGACCGACTTGGGAACCGAAAGCCAGGTGAGTAAGCGCCGAGCTGGTGTTGGAGGCGGGTGAGGAGCGCGGCTCGATGCTAACCTGCTGCTTCCCTTCCCCAGATCTTCATTTCTCGCACCTATGACGCCACCACTCACTTTGAGACGACGTGCGATGACATCAAAGATATTTATAAGAGGATGATGGGATCAGAGTTTGACTTCGAAGAGATGAAACGCAAGAAAAATGATATCTATGGGGAGGAGGAGCAGCAGTAATGAGAATCCCTAATTAGGAGAAATTTAAATCGGCTAATATGAATATATAAGGAACTTAATGAACACTGTATGAAATTCAATATTGTAAGGCCTGCTTTTGTAATCCCATCTCTGAGAGACTGAAGAGTACTGCACTGGTAATGTTCCCCTTTTGGATATCATGTGTTAATTATTTCATTCTAGTAGGGCTGCTGTCCAGAATCTGGCAAATTACTGACTGATTTAATGACTAACCTCGTAAGCGAGAGGCAGACTGGAAAAAACAAACAAACAAAAAAAAAACCCCACCTATGTGCTTTTTTTTTTTTTTTTTTTTTTTTTT